AGGAGGAGGAACGTGGGAGTCACCGACAGCGAGCCCTGCTCAGGAAGGCGCAGGGACCTGCCTTCCACCTTCGACCCCACCTTCTCCGTCCCTCTCGGAGGCCTCCAAACTGGGGCAGCTGCTGGGGTCGGAGGATCGCACCGCATCGCCGCTGCATCGCCGATGCACCGGCGATGCATCGGTGATGCATCGGCGACGTCGGCGATGCATCGACGCCATCGGCATGGAGAAAATCGAGCTCCACATGCATTAGCGGCGTCGCCGATGCATCGGGGACAGCGGCCTGGAAGGCCTGGCGTTTGCGACGACGCCTCTGCGGGGGTAGAATCGTAGGGATTACAGCCATCACGTAGTGATATACCAATAGGATGCCACCCCCCCTGACCTCGATGAGCACAGCGGCGAAGAAGACCAGGAGGCCCCTCCACCATGAACGGACACCGATCCTCACTCCCCCTCACTCCCTCCCTCACTCCTCCCGAGCCCAACCACCAAGGACGGACACGATCTGAACTCAGGCCGCAGGCCACCAGCCAGGCAGACAGCACGAGCCGGGGCCTTCGGCGGCGGAGAGGCAAATAACCGAAGGCAGTCGCTGGTGTGAGCCGCGGGCGGTCAGAGACTTTTTTGGATAGGCGATAATCCGTGCTATCCAGGGGGGGGCGATAACCGAACCTTCGCGCTGTGGGCAGCCCCGCATGTGCCCGCGCGCACCAAGTGCTGCGGCCCCTACAGCTGCTAACGATGCTGCGACGGTGCTACTACTCGTGCTGCGACGATGCGGGCGCCGTTTGGGAATGCCGAAGGCTATGTCTAAATCTCCTCAACCGACAGGGTGAAGTTATCCCAGGGGGGGGGGGGGGCGAGCCCGATAACCCGGGTCATCGCCAGACCCTAAAAAAACACTCTATCACTCGGTCCCCCATCCACGTGGCCCGACCAGGGGGCCAGCGCGGAGGCTACAGTAGGGGCCCGTCCACAATAAACCTTCCACAAGAAACCCAACCCTGAGACCCCAGGATGTCCAAAAATTTCTGGTGTGGGAACGTCACGCTGTCTGTGGGAAAACAGTCATAATAGAAGAAACGCAGGGCACCCTGGAGGCAAACGGGGTGTTTCTTGGCATGGGTCTCCACTGTACCGACCCTGCCCCCCAACGAGCGGAAGCCCCTGAGATCCAGGCACCGATGTTTCTTCGTAACGGGCGTCTTCGCCCGCACGCGGGCCCGACACGGACCATCACGGATCCATCCAGCTCGACGAGTGCCGCACAGAGATGGGGACCAGAGCTCGCGCCGTGGCTCTTCGCAGTGCTGAAGTGTTTGTCGCAGCGTCGGGTCCAGGGAGGAGCTCGGGATCCCTGGAGGCCTCTAAAGTGGGAACGGAGCGCATGGGATCGGAGGATCGCCGCATCGCCGATGGATGTATCACTGGTGCATCGGCGACGTCGGCGCGGAGAAAATAGGGCGCCTCATCGAACCGCATCGCCGACGCATCGCCGATGCATCCGCGATGTGGGGCGATCCTCCGACCCCACCTGCCCCGATCCCGTCTGGGAGGCCTAGAGCCCCTCCCCTTCTGCTCCCCCTGCCCCCCGCGCGCGCGCCGCCACGCTGGTTCCGTGCGGGCGCAGCGAGCGGTGAGGCAGGCGGGAGGGGGGCTTGTGCAAAGACGGCGGGCAAGGACCAAGATGAGGAGAAAGAGGAGGGCGAGGGAGGCACTCCGCGAGCACTACCAACACGTCTGGAGGTGCACCGGGAAGCATATACATACATATATATAAGGGACAGGGATGGAGGAGGAGGAGGAGGAGGAGGAGGAGGAGGAGGAGGAGGAGGAGGAGGAGGAGGAGGAGGAGGAGCAGGGGGAGGAGGAGGAGGAGGAGGAGGAGGAGGAGGAGGAGGAGGAGGAGGAGGAGGAGGAGGAGGAGGAGGAGGAGGAGGAGGAGGAGGAGCAGGGGGAGAAGGAGCAAGAGGAGGAGGAGGGAGGAGGGGATGGAGGAGGAGGAGGAGGAGGAGGAGGAGGAGGAGGAGGAGGGATGGAGAGGAGGAGGAGGAGGAGGAGGAGGAGGAGGAGGAGGAGGAGAAGCAGGTGGAGGGGGGGGAGGAGGAAGACAAGGAGGAGGAGGAGGAGGGAGGAGGAGGAGGAGGAGGAGGAGGAGGGAGGGGAAGAGGAGGAGGAGGAGGTGGAGGAGGAGCAGGATGAGGAGGAGGAGGAGCAGGAGGAGGACGAGGAGGAGGGATAGAGGAGGAGGGATCGAGGAGGAGGTGAACGAGGAGGAGGAGGAAGACGAAGAGCAGGAGGAGGAGGAGGAGGAGGAGGAGGAGGAGAAGGAGAGGAGGAGGGCGAGGAAAGAACTCCGCGAACAGACGGGCTGGGCCAAGGGCCGGGAGAGCGGCACCCCCCCCGTGAGGCGCCAGTTCACGGCGGCCCCGCCCACGGCCACAGCGCGTGCCATGCCGCGCCGCGGAGCGACCTGCCAAGCCCGGCGTGCACCTCC